TGGAGTTTCGCGAGCAGAAACCCTATCAAGTTCTTGCCTAGCGTATCTCTGCCAATGGTTATGAAGGAGTTAGACCGCCATCAGAATGCTGAAGTCATGCCTATTGTGGTGGCTTCACCGATAAACACCTTATTCTTCGATTGCAGTTGATCACCCTATCGCAGAAAGTACTATCCAGCCTCACCGAATTGGGGTATTAAATTACGGTATGGGTAGAAAAGCAGGCCTCAAAACATTAACTTAATTCAACATAATTTAATACTTAATTCGATTTGAATCTCAACTTATCATTTAATTAACATAACTGCAGCAAATGCACTGAAATGGAAGACCAATGAAGGGCTTCGAAGAAACATTTTCGAACGTGCCAAGAGGAAGATAAGCGAGAAGTGGCCGGCAGCAATGTTCGAGCAATGGTAGCCGAGGCTAAGAAAAACTGTAGGTATCAGCCAGATGGATCCGTTGAGTATATGCTCCCTTTAAGGCGGGGCAAATCCGCATGTAAGTGTGGCCTGCGCCATAGTCGGAAACGATAAAGCACCATCGATGTGCTGAAGCGGCGCGGCTTTGAAGAAATCATGACATTGATACGGTAGTCGAAAGTGCTGAGCCGACATCGCCCTCCGGACCCAAACAGGTAGGTCCTTCCATGATAAGGAGGGACCACTATCCAATAGCGGTGTTTTTTGAAGCTGGAAATGACATGCAATACCCAGAAAAATACTCAGAAAACCTAGATTTACATGAATATTTATTATATATCTTGATTTTTATTTATTTACTTTTCAAATATTCTTTACTATTAAACCAATCGATTAACAAGACTCGAAAATTAGTCCGTGACTGGTGTAGCGGCAGATGGCACCGCTCATCATGTAGATCAAAACCCGGACCGCTCAGGTTAACCGAGCCTTTCTTTGCGAGGTAGGCCTATTGCTACCAAACCCGTCCGCAAGGGTTAAAATCTTCAGTTGTGCATCGGCAGGCCTTGCAAATCATTCTAGTAGACATGTCGTGTTCAAGTGCCTCCAGCACTTTGAGTGGAAATCGAAAACATGGCGCATTCCGGATGCCAAATATTTTAGTCTTTTGCCGTTGATCTTGAAAAATTTGAGCTTCCTCTTACTCGAGGTGGTGGTGGTTAATGAGGTTGCGTACTATACTCTTTCATTTCTTCTCGACACTGCTAGCAATTTATTGATAAAAACAAGAAACAGTCATTTGTGCTCAATGAGCGATAAACCCAGCGAAGAGTGGGGCGGGACCCCCAAGCAAGGAGTAACGAATGAACAGCATAAGATTCTTGAAGAGCCATGACGGAATGCAATCAACCAAACACCCAAAAATATCATATTTTCTACTAGGAGTTTCCAAAAAGTCCTTTAGTCTAAGTCCTGCGGCGATTGCTTACCGATTGTTTACCTTCTTCCTGAACAGCTTTAAACGGTCGTTATAAAACATACAAGCAGGACAATACCCCTAATACACGAACGCAAGCAACGAATACAACAGGAAAAAATGCCTTATTGTGCACATGCCGAGCGGATGGTCCACCACATCTTTTTCCTCGAAAAATTCTTAGAAAAAACTAAATAAGCTACTCGCAGTAGTTCTTTTTTTGCGTAGCTTGACCATTCATTTTTAACTGAAAAAATTGCTGCGAGGAAGCGGAATTAATTCCCGACTGGAGCGTCTTAACTCGAAAAATCGATGTGCTCTCCATATTGCTCAATATAGCACCGGACTAAGCACTAATCTACGGCAACAAAAATACCTTCCCAGGGCTTTTCCTTGAGAGAAAAAGCCATCCCATAAAATTGAGTTGAACACGTAAAGCGGAGCACAGGCATAAACGGGCCCAGTGTGTTAAAGAAATTAAGGCAAGAGACGATTGCTGAAATTCAACCTGATTTGTCATAAGATACAATTACAAACATTATGGCGATCCGCTTCGAGCGTTAATCAGTCGTCTGAAAATGGATCTAGTTATCATAAAAATCGCTTCGTTTTTAAACGTATCAAGTACTGGTTAGGCAAATCCACCACCCGCCCGGGTGGCCGATTCCATCTGCCGCGTTGAAGACGTGGAGACAGCCAGATGGCCGAAAAAAGCAGCACGACAACTGCAGATGACCCGAAGAAATTGATGTGCAGACGGCTATGCAATAGACGTTTGCTAAAAGCTGCAGAAAGAAAAGTGAATTGGGAGAAGATCTGGACGCCGTCCAGCGAAGATCATAAAGTCACATGAAGAGTTACGAGGGATGACTCCATAAAGTCATGTGGCCATATGTACAGAACGGTGGTGCACGGACAACGCCAGCGGGCTGTGAACAACTTTTGTCACCAGGCGGCACTAACCAGGGAAAGGCATTCAACTTCCCATGGAACTTTGAGATGAGACCCAGATATATCGATAGAGCTTCAAACGCTGATTACAAATATGGAAACTAAAACTGCAAAATGAACCTGCCAAGGAAGTTGTGAGCAGTCAAAGTTGGCTGGAAGTAAAGCATTACATATGAACCGTGCTTCCGGGCTTTCAGAAGTCGCCGGAGTAGTGTGTGGTGCTCTGCGCTCTCGCACGCCGAGGCGCGTGTTGTTTCGAGACACTGAACCGACTACCACCACCACGCGACTTGAATGCCTGGACGGTACCACGATTCATATGAAACGCTTTATTTCCAGCCAACTTTAACTGCTCACAACTTACTTGGAGTTCATTTTGCAGTTTTAGTTTTCATATTTGTAGTCAATGTTTGAAGCTCTATCGAAATATATGGGTCTCGATTCAAAGTTCCATGGGAAGTGAATGCCTTTCCTGGTAAGCGTACCATTTTCAGCATAAATTTCGTGAAACACTCGTTAACTCATCAATTCCTCAGAAGGCGGCGATTTTCGAAACAACTTTGCATTCAGTGGTTATGATCAGGTAGAAGATAAAGCATTTGCCGTTGATCAATCCCTTTTGGGATGCGGCACGCATTCTACTTCCATTTGTACATTCGCAGTGGCATTTGAATGCGATGTGGCCTATACAATGACTTGCGGGGGCCAGCCAACGTTGATGTACGAAGTAAGCGTTATGTCCCAAACATTTCAATGCATTCGATAACGCTCGTGTAGTTGGAGGGGCCTATCAGTGCAATAGCTCAGCTGGCTACAGGAAACCAAATTAGCTCTAAGGTGGGGAGCTCATTTACTGACGCCAAGAAGGAGCCAAATGATCGTGAGTACTCACTTTCCTCTGAGAGTTCATCACAGATGGGAATGTTTTTTCATAATTTCGATGGCCTCAAGCTCTCCACGATGAATCCCCACCTACAAGTGAGCCCATTCTCCCTCAGTCAAGAGAGCTTTCAGCGAGCTTCTGTTCTAAAGAAAGTTTGCAGGGAAATTTGTGCTCCGATTCTGTGATGCGCTCCAGTGGCCAAATGTTTCCATCAAACGGCGCAACCTTAAAGGCACCGGTCGCGACTAGAAATTCTAGTGTCCTTATAGAAATTCTTTCCATATGTGAGTAGCAAAGTCCCTAAACGCAAGATTCGTCCCACTTTTCAAGGTGCTTACAAGCGCTAAGACCTTGCTCTGAACCGGTGCTACCGCTCCCATTTTTACTCGCCAGCAGCATACACGCTGTTTGTCCCGCTTGTTCTACGTTCTACGTGCTCTAACGCTTATTCTCTTTTAGCCACGCTAGGTTTCTCCATACTACGGTCGAACTCACAAGAATAAGAGTTCTCCAAGTGCAGTGCTTTTCGTGGTTGTTTCTCCTGGTATCCTCTTCAAACTTATCTATTCATTTTTTGGACCGTGCTCGGGGGGGGGGGGGGGCGGCAGCAGAGGGCGGGGCAAAGGCTCAAAGAGTTTCCTTGACGGGTCGCAAACCACTACGGCGCTGTTTTTATGCTGATCGCCAGGGCTCTTGCCTCGTCTTCAGAAAGTTGTGCGTCAGTAAACCGATTGAGCTGGTGCTTCAGGCTGAAGCATTTACTGTGGGTCTCCTTGGGCCAGACAAGAAGCTGAATAACCCTCACTCTCAGGGCAGCACCGCTGATAGTAGCGTCAATGCAAAAATCAAACGGCAACGAAGGGGTCCTATTTCTCGTGCTCTGAACCATTTCTCATGTTTTTTTTTCATTCCCGCACCACAGACCACCTCTATCCTGATCTCCTTTCCATCGTAAACCTCGCCTTCAAGCCTTTCACGACAACTATTTGGGTCCGATGGCCTAACCAAAGTCATACATTCTATGATACCATAAAGGAACCAGATTCAATTCTACATCTACCCATTATAAAGAGACGGGATTGCTTTACGGCTGGGTGAAAACAGTTGCTTATGGCGGAATCTTGCTGATATCACCACGGCAGCTTAGATTTTGAATAAACCAGGAAATGTAATGGGCAGTATAAGAATCATGTGGTATTGAGAGGTGAATACATTAGAACTATTACAACCCTTTAAGGAGTTTTCTGACAACTGTAACTTCACCGCCCGAGCAGTGGCAATGAGAGGGAAACTCAAATGCGCTGCTTTTGTTATTTGAGCGGCCCGCAAAATCATGAAGCCGATTCAGAGACTTTGCGAATCGCGCGATTCGCTACTAGCGATTCGCAAAGTAGCGTCCGCGGTCGCGTTGCGGTACCAGCCAATTGAGTGATTCACTGGCCGCGACGCGACCGCAGACGCCTAGCGAATCGCGCGATTCGCAAAGTCTGACATCGGCCTACACGTGTTCCGTGACACTTCAAATGCCTGCCAAAGAGCAGTTGAAGCAAAAACACAAAACTGCGGGCGTTCCTTCAAGAAAGAAACACGATGAGCGTGAAATAAATTATTTATTTTCACAATATTGAGTCACCGGTACAAATATATTTTCCATGAATGAGATCAGTTCTTGCCGAAAATCTGGAGGACGAACAAGAAAATGTTGAGAATGTCGAGGAATATTTGCATTGCACCAAATATGTATTCTTCAGGAGAAAGCTCAAACTTCCGTCCACCCATTAGCAGCTGAAACTGAGGTAAAATTAATCAATTTACACTTGATTCTTTTAGATTACTTGTTTTTCCTCTGTGACTGAGCAGCTGGACCTTTTTCATTCAACTGAATAAAATTAAGAAACAGTATGAACCTGAAAGTGGCCAGAGGCGATAACGAGGACAAAGAGACTATAATGCTGGTGGATAGCGGGAAGAAGAAAGAAAAAGAAACGTTCGTTAGTTTGATAGTATGAGAGAATGCTCAAAGGTAGATAGGCGATACTTGCTAAGGTGAAAAGAGGACTTAAGCCGTTTAGACAGAGCGAGCACCCGAAGTAAGCGTGAATTATAATGTTCTGCTGTAGTCACGTACAATGCGCGACGCACTGACACGCTGAAGCGTGTGCTCGTTTCCAGAAGATTATAAGTTCAGGAACATAGGCTGTATACCGTAACCCTCTCGACGTTGCACTGGGGCGCGCAATGTCACGTGTCACCGATTTTCCATGTGTGCTCGGCACCCACTTGTTTTTCTCTGCGTTCTCTCAACGAAGAGAGAATGCGTTCGAGGCAAACTCGCCAGCTATACAGAGCGCAATTGAAAACAAGAACTGGGCGATAGGCTCGCTTGCATGGGAGCGGCGACGCCCCCCGGCGGCGTTAATTTGGCGTACGGTATACCTCCTATGTCTCTGATATAATAATACTTTCTCCTACTTCCGTAACAATAATAATAATAATAATAATAATAATAATAATAATAATAATAATAATAATAATAATAATAATAATAATAATAATAATAATAATAATAATAATAATAATAACAATAAGCATACTTGATGCGATTGATTAGCATACCACTTTTGAAAAGAGAGAGCCCAGGCTTCTTTCTATAAGGCCTAGTCAATCGATTAAGATCGTTAGAGCATAGCACTGAACAGCGTCTGCCACGGTAAATTTTCGCCCTGCGCTACCGTATCCGAAAATCACGGACGTGTCATACGCACTGTTTTGCACGCATAATAATAATAATAATAATAATAATAATAATAATAATAATAATAATAATAATAATAATAATAATAATAATAATAATAATAATAATAATAATAATAATAATAATAATAATAATAATAATAATAATAATAATAATAATAATAATAATAATAATAATAATAATAATAATAATAATAATAATAATAATATAATAATAATAATAATAATAATAATAATAATAATAATAATAATAATAATAATAATAATAATAATAATAATAATAATAATAATAATAATAATAATAATAATAATAATAATAATAATAATAATAATAATAATAATAATAATAATAATAATAATAATAATAATAATAATAATAATAATAATAATAATAATAATAATAATAATAATAATAATATAATAATAATAATAATAATAATAATAATAATAATAATAATAATAATAATAATAATAATAATAATAATAATAATAATAATAATAATAATAATAATAATAATAATAATAATAATAAATAATAATAATAATAATAATAATAATAATAATAATAATAATAATAATAATAATAATAATAATAATAATAATAATAATAAAATAATAATAATATAATAATAATAATAATAATAATAATAATAATAATAATAATAATAATAATAATAATAATAATAAATAATAATAATAATAATAATAATAATAATAATAATAATAATAATAATAATAATAATAATAATAATAATAATAATAATAATAATAATAATAATAATAATAATAATAATAATAATAATAATGCATAATCAGAAGTGGACGAAAAATGGACAGCTCACCAAGTGAGGATTATGGAAGGAGTGTTGGTAACAGTGGAAAATAATCAACAAGAGGGAAAGTAAAGTGAGAAACTGACGAGGTGAGCGGGAGAGGATGCAGAGATGGCAAGATGTCAGAAGGTGCGACAGGAAAACAAATCTATGAAATAGCTAAATAAGAGAATTTAGCCACGCAGGAAATTCATGAAGGGTAGAGCCGTTATTCCAAAAATAGGAAAGAAACGAAAAAGGTGATGAAGGGAAGAATGATAGGAAGTAAAGAATGTAAGATGAGACCCCGAAAATGATTGAAAAAAAAACAGAAAAATTTGTCGGGAAAATCGAAGGAAGAAAGGAAAGGAAGTCGATGAAGACCAGTGGAGAGCGTGCTTATTTCCTAATCCGATACACATGCATAGTCTGCTACGGCATACCTTACTTATGGGGGCCTTGAGAGGGAGGAACGGAGTAGAGAAGGAGAAGTTAAAAGAATGAAATTGAGCGTGGTGCCGCCACCCAGCCCTCTTAAGAGGGGAGGGGAATTTTTGAATTCAACATGGCCCCCGGTTGACCCTGGTTGACATCCCTAGCTCCATATTCCAGGCAAAGCATACCGTGGTAATCGCGACAAAATGCCCTCTGTGCAAGAGAGTTGCGAAGCCCGTTTTTCAGAATGGTGAGGTTTCTCGAAGGAGAAAAAAACCAATTCGAGTATTCCCTTTTACTGTACCTGAGTGTCGATTGCTAAATAGAGCATTGATAGAAGTGCTCCCAGAGCTGCATAGACGGTGTACAGGAATGTGACGTTGAAAGCAAAGCAAGCGATCATCGCTGTGAGGCCGAAGAACATCAGCGTTGTGCCGAACACGTAGGCTATACCAATCATGCTGAAAATGGGCTGTGACTTAAATAGAAACAAAGCAGGGAATGATCTATGATGGTGAATTTCAAGATTTCAAAGGTTATTTGTCGGCGCAGTTCATGCTTTGGTGTGCGCCATGCACTTGTCTCCCCGAATATTTGGTAGAAATAAATGTCTAGTAGAGGAGGGGCAGTGGCAGATGGCGTCGATCCCATAATCGCTGTCCCTAGATCACTTCTCCGCTTGGCACTGAGGCCTAAGTTTCCTTTAATCGCTAGACGTGGTAATGTGCTTTTTTTATAGAGTCGTATTGCAATAGGAAATAAAGAAGCTCATATTACAGGGTGTCCCAAAATTATGGGCACAGAAATTCAAAATTTCATTCAGCAAAAGAACTCGATTATTTTCACTTCATTTGCCGACGATTACTTCTGCAGGAAGGTCTTCTTGTAATTTGGTTCATTGGTGGGGTGAACTCCTACTACCTTCAGGATGGCGGAAGGTCTTTCAGTGCGACCTGCGACCATTCGCATGCACGAGGCAGGTCCCTCCAACGAAGGACAACGCAAATATTTTGAAGATGACTTTCCTACAATGGCTACGCAAAAGATTTTCAGACGATACTAGATACTGGCCTATGGGGAGGGGGGTCGGCCTATGCATGATAGGCATAGTAGATACTACTATGCCTATCATGCATAGGCCTGCGAGAGGGAGAAAGACCGGCCAATCTGCCGCAAGGGTGACTGAAACATTCCGATCTCGAATTGACCGCAACCGACGACGCTGGGAAGAATCCCATAGGAGCTTGACTAAACGAAGTCACTGACAGGGCAGGTCAGCGAAGAACTTCATGGTCGTTACCATCAGGAGTGCCATCTCATCTCCGATACTAACAAGTGTCAGTGAGGTAAAAAATGCAGAAGATTCACCTGCTTCAATGGAGACACGCATCTCTCTTCTCTTTATTTCAAAGGAAAATTTTACAGCTGAGCGGACCCGCAATAGCCAGAACGATTGCATTCCTGCCAGAAATGCCTAGAGTGCTACTCCACGAGGAAAATTGTTTGCAGATTATCGAACTCGGCCCCAGTTTTGGTTTGAAGGAACACCACGTCCAGTGGTGAGAGACCGTTAGTTTTTCGTCGATTTCGGTATAAATATCAACAAACCCGGACACTTGAGGTAAGCGTAGTGAAGTCTCAGTCAGAGTCCCACCATGGAAATAACCCGAGACGTTCTAGCTGGAGAGCGCTTCCAGCCCACAGAGCCAAGTTGATCCAAGAGTGGTGCCGGTTTCAGCTGCCCGACTTCGCTCACACCGAAGAATGGCCATCATTTTCACCAGGTCCGTATCCACCTCACTTCTCAATGTGGTCATTGAGTGAAAGTGAGGTCTGTCGTTCGTCATCACAATTTTGAGTAACTGGAAGCAGCACTGAAGGAAGCTTCGGAAGAAATAAACGAGGAGTGCGCCTGCGTGCAACGTGTGCGGAACCCAAGAAGCGACTACTGGCTTGCATTCGTTGCATTGAAGGACATTTCGGTATTGGGCTGTTCCATATTATTGTACATGATGTGAGTTAACTTATATATAAATTCAATCGGCATTCTCCGTTTGCAAGCTTAAAATATATTGCTGCGAATATGTGCCCATAATTTTGAGACACCCTGTAGATTATGAAAACGTGGGGAAAACGGCTCAAATGAGGTGATTATGGAAGAATTTGAAATAGAAATCATTTTTAGGAATTTTTAAGCGTGCAATTACCTGGTAAGATCCTTTTTTATAAACATGGCGAAAACGATTATAGCAGCCGATGAACATGTGGTGATACACAATGCCAGCAATACCGACTGTACATTGTACGACGATGTTACGGCCATGGTCATATAACCGGCGGCCAGTGTCTGAAACAGACGGGAAAATGAAAATAAACAACAAACAAATAAAAGAAAAATAGGAGAATAAGTTTAATTGCTTACGAAGACGCCCAACGCAATGAGATTGAGTGGATATGATCGACGAACTGAGCTACTACACATCAGAACCAACGCCACAACCAGAAAAACGCCCCTAAATATCAAGGTAGAAATCACGAAGGTTGTGCTTTAAGTTAGGGTTGTTTTGTAGGATAGGGTAGGCACTGTCTAAATAGACTTTCATCAAATTATCCAAGACAAAGCAGCATTTCGGAGCAGAATGTTCACGATGAGTGTGCAGAAGGGGAAGTTAACTCAGAAGGGGAAGTTAACTTAATGGGAAAGACAAGCGCTCCCCCTCCCCCAAAAGTGCGGATTTCTTTGCAGCAAAGGCATGCTCCGGGTATCTAGCATGGCCCTCCCCGCAGCGCTGTCGGCGCGGTACGTCTCCCTCTCGCTGTCTGACTCTCAACTGTTTAGCAAAGAGAGCGTTAGCGTTGAAGAGTGCAGCAGCGATGAGGGACGCATCAATGCGGAGATCAACCGGCAAGAAGGGAATTCCCTTTCTCGGATAATTGTGGTTAATCTGGGACGTATAGTGAATTAGCCAAACTTGCACGTCAACGGGCAGTTTTAATAAGCACGTCACGTGGAGGTGCAAGTTTTTCCGATGATGGTGGAAATTGCTTCTATGGCACCTGGGAGAACCATTTATGAAACTCTGAAGAAAGCACCCAGGTGAGCTGCAGCTCCCTGGCAGGGTGGTTCCTTGTTACGCGCAGCCGTAAAACGCGCAGGAAGGGCTCGCTGACAGAAAACGGGACGCGGAGGGGCGAATACAATGTGTTTGGAGGGACGCAGGTGACGCCCGTTACGCGCAGCAAAAGTCCTTCAGAGGCTTTTTGGAGTTGGCCAACTTCAAACTGCCAGGTGATGGGACAAAGCACGGTGTTGTGGAGGGAAAGAGAGGCACCTAACATTGATTCGTCATTGGTGAGTAGCGCCCGTTAGCGCCGTCATTGGTGTCATGATCAGTCGCAAGATCTAATGCAACCGGTTAAGTCCCTATTCCTGCAACCCTTTCACCGCCGATAAGAAGGGCTCCTTAGTGCAGTGGTAACGATGAAGCTCATGGGACGGTGCAGTGAAAGTTTGAACCCGTGCGTGACGCAAGGTTTGCAGGCGACGATTTGCAGGCGACGATTTGCAAACAACATCCGTTGCTTTTCTGTTGTCAAGACCTCTTCCTGTGCTCGAGTGATCCCTGGTGCACTGGCAAAAACCCGGCTTTGAGTCCTGTCATCCAGGGTTCAAGTCCGAGAGTGGCGCAAGTTTTGCAGGTAGTGCGAGGCTGGCGGTTTCAAGAAGGGTCAAGTCCATGTTTCCACGTTCTTGTTCCTCGTCAATGGGTGAAAATCACCACATTTGCTTGCTAGTCTGAGGCACTTTACTACCGTCCCTGTTCTTGTACAAGGAATGCAAGCATGGATTCATCTCTGGCGCACCCAGAGATCTCTGTATTTGTTGTTTTTGTTTCGTTGGTAATAAACGTATGTGTGGAATGAAAACGCGGATAATTTTCTCTCGACCTAATATATCAACAAAAACTTACATTGATACAAAAAGAAAAACTACATTGTTCTGGACCCAAACCATGAACGCAGGAAAAATGAACGGCATCGCACACATCACGGCAACAATCGCGAACTGAAAAATAGGTAGGTCGTATAAGAAGTACTACACATATTCTTCCGCTTTTATACATTATCTTCCAGTACAATCCGTTCAGGGGCTGCTGCACGGGTCCATTTGTCTGTGCTGTATCAGCACTGATATAATATGGTATAAAACGAAAATTTTGTGCGCGAGGGTGTAGCCAATTCAGGAGAAGGGGGTAGAGTAGTTCAAAGGAAGGTTGCTGACCAAACGGAATTTGAAGAAAGGGAATACGCTCATTGGAAAGGGAAGCAGGCCTTTCGAGGATGCGAGGCGATAAACGTCTCGCAGCGAAGATTGCGCCCTTGGTCTCAGCTTCTTGCCAACCATCAGGCTAGGCAGTCATTTCTAGAGTTGTCTGGTAGC